AACCAATCAGATTGCAAGATTCGTTACCGTGCCCTCTAAAAAAACAATAAACAATGTTATTTACCGACTATTGTTTTTCCTTGCAGTGGCTATCTCGCTGAGCACATAGACCTAAGGTATTTTCTGACCTTCGGCATGATGTTCAGTGGATTTTTTTCCGTGCTCTTTGGTTTGGGATTTTTCTACAAGGTTCACAACTTTGAGTATTATTTTTTCATTCAGGTAAGTACTCCTCGTATTTATTTGTTAAAACATCGTTTTGAAATTGCAAATTTTGATGTCATAATACTTTACAGAGTAAAGTGGGATGCAAGAGCATTTGGAAAAATGTTGATAGCAAAATGATGTCAACCTCAAGCCAAGTAGAATATGTTTGCGATGAATGAAAAAAATATACATAGAATAGATGTTGCTACGCAGTTGGTTTTGATTCATGTAAGTAGTCAAATGCATCGATGGCCGGCTGCATCCGGGAGATATTCTCCGATTCTTTACTCTTCACAAAAAAATCAATTTGACTTTTCCTAACTTCTCTTTTAGCTGTTCGCGGGATTTTTCCAGGTGAGTACATAAATGATTGTTAGCTTTGTTGACAATGATCTCATGTTGTTCATGTCTGTTTATGTAATTTTTTTACTAAAACAAGCAAACCAAAAGTGGTACTAAGTCTATGAATTGATTCTGTTTTAACAGAGTACCGGTTTTCCCACTGTAGTTGAGTGTGTAGGCAACTGGATAGGGAAAAGGAGGTAAGAAACGTTGTAAACCTTCTATAACTGGTGAGCTAGAAACTTCTTTGCTTAGATACGAGGAATTCTTTATACTTTAGTTAGAAGAATTAAGAACTGATTTTTGTTGTTCAGTACGTTCATATGAAATATTCCAAGCTCATTTGCAATAGTTCTCATGAGGTACTCAAGGTTTTCCGAGCGGTTTCATCAAGTAAAATAGATGTTCATGATCCATATGCTTAAATGAACTCGTTGAGGTCCATGAATTGCCACGGAGAGTTTCGATCGACAAATTCTATTGTTTTTTCATTGTGTACCATTGCAGACCGGATTTTACATCTTTCCATTCCATTAAATGAGCCTTATGAACTCGGCGTTAATCGAATGTTAATCTCTCCATGGAGTCCCATACAGCGAGCAGGAACTTCACCATTATCAGGGAAAAATGAAGCTCCATAGGGCTCAAAGTAGCTAAACAGAGTTCAGTGGAATTCTATAGGCTCTCTTAGTTCTATGCAGCATGGGTCTAGGGATCTTCAAGAAGATTTTCATAGAGCTATAGTCAGTGTTACGTGTTCCGAGGGCTAAGCATGATGTACCTGTTAAATAGATGTACAGTTACGCTCATCATGTTTTAGTCACGGCTATACTGATGTCAATGATCCTTTGCAGACGTGGTTTCATAATGGGAATTTGGAATTCTCACAAATCTGTTGGAGCTATCTTAGGATCCAACATCGCTGGCATCTGGGCTAGTAACCAATGGTAAGGGCCGGGATATGATTTAGGTCACAAACAATAACAATGCTGATAACTATTGCTTCGGCTTTGTCTTTGTGATGACATTTAGCTTGACGTTAATATTACACTTTTTAACAGGGGATACTCGTTTCTTGTACCTGGTTGTATCATTGGTGGAGTGGCAATCGTTGTGTTTTTGTTCCTCGTTGTAGGTACGTTTTACGCCTTAACCCGTGTCAGTGATAGTATGTTTACGAGAACTTCGTCAATTGAACAGCTGCACAGTGGAAGTTCCTTAAAATCTTCACTAAGTGCTTTCCTCTTAACAGATCTTTGAGAATCCTACTGTAAAGGACCAGGATCTGGTGTTAAGGATCACATAGGGTTCTGCAAAGATGATAGAACGCTTATTTAGGATATCTGTTGAATACGTCTTTTTTCCCAGATCCTATTGATGTGGACTGCCCATCTCCGCAGAGACAATCTAAAGAGGTCTGAGCTAATAACCTTCTACTTCACCTTTGACTTAGTATTCCTGGTGATACCATGCTGTTGCGTTTCGAGATTAATTATTTTCACTACTTTGTCCCCTTGAAGTGGTCCCCTCTTCAAATCTGATTATTACCTTTGTTTTCTGCAGTCCTTTCCTGTTTATGCTACATTTAGTACGACAGTTGATGTCAGAAATCCAGCCCATCAGGATGGCTTGGTGAGTACTCGTCTATGTTAGGGAATGGGAATTTTTTTTTACAATTCGATCGTGATTTGTTCTTCGGCTAAGTGTTACAGTGGTATATGTGATAATTCTTTCAGATGAAATATTTTCAGGATCCGTTTTCACTATAACATTCTTCACGTTTTCAAACCTCATTGACAAGAAACAACCCAAGGTCATACAAAGAATTCGTTGTTACTTCATATTCGTTATAACTATAACTTCACATTGTTATTAACAATTTTCAGATTTCGAATGATTCGTCACGTTCAGTTTTTTTGTCGTTTTCGTCTTCGTCATCACTTTCGTCTCATGAGGAACCCGATGCTATAAGCCTCTGGAAAGCAATTCTTATTCCAGTAAGTTAACTCAAAATTTCCTTATGATTCTAAAGAGAATGCTGAACAGGACTCTATGGGTTTAGAGATACCACGGTATGAAACTTGTGACGGTAGGCAAATGACGTGATCGAACGAGAACAGCTTTGACTTTTCAAATAACGTCTCCGTTGGAGTTAGAGCTATATTTGAAGTTTAAATTGCCTTAATATGTGAAATGGTCTTCATAAGTCTGCCACTGAAGAGAGCTTCACACTACCAAACAGCAGGCCAAACACATTTAGTTTCGATCTCCAGTGTGCGTTTGTTTTTCCCATTACGTCACAGAGGTGTATGTATCATCAAACATTTACCTAATACCATACTGATACCAAATCACGAGCTTTTATTTAAAACATCTTTTCTAAATGTTCTTGGGGAGCTTGACACAAAATCTATGCCTGATTAAACACAAAAATCTTCTTCCCTTCTTTGAATTTGCAGGGAGTGATTGAGTACTCGTTCTCTTTGTTCTTTGCTAAACTGGTCAGTCTAACATTCCTGTTTTGGTTGCCATTTTACATAGAAAACACGAGTAAGTTTTTACGTTTTTCCTCTCTTTGCTGTCATTTGATTAAAAAAAGGACGAAAATTTCGGAAGGGAACACCGACTATCAATCGTATGAGTTAGAGGTTAAGATGGAGCCTCTGCACTGTTTCTTTATACCAGGTTTTTTAAGTCTCGGTCGCTGTTTCCACTCTGAATCAGATGGAACTAGTAAACTGAGCATAAAGAAGCAGTACCATATGTCTTTTCTTTTCATGCAACGAATCTTGGATAACCTCCCACGATATGGGCCAAACTTCGTTTACTTTAAGTTTTGAAATCACGCGTATGATTTCAGCCCAAATTGCACTCCACTCAGTTCAATTACCATTATTTATTAAAAAGGAGAATCTTAACTTACTTTTTAATTTTCTTGGGGAGCTTGAAGGGCCATGCTGTTTGGCTTTACTTGTCATTATGAACGTAATATGCAATCAAACTGCTTCGAATCGTTATACATATTATTGTTGTGAGAACACTATACATTACATTTTAAAGCGAAATAAATCCCAAATTGCTTGGGGAAATATCTGTACAAATTGAGTCAGTGAGTGCACAGTGTGGCCCTTTTGGAAAGCTAATAACCCATATCTAAATTCATTTTATGTCTTGTTTCCTTTTTTCTTCAGAAATTGGTGGTGAATTTCATGACGTACGTTTGTCTGCAGAGTTGTCCGCTTTCTTCGATGTGGGAGGAATGATAGGTTGGTGAAAGTTGTATTAGGGAATTTTAGATCTACGTTTGTTTCTGAATACGTGTGACCGCAAACTCTAGGAGTCACGTGACTAGACTCCAGCGGTTCATGTTCGCCGTTTGCCGTCAACGCTAGAACTTTGGGCAAGGCAGTTTAGGGTTATGGAATCCTTCGACGCTTTTTTTCTTCCTGTTCGAAAGTTCTCACGTATGTCCTAGAAGTATATGTGAAGTGAAGTCTTTTCTTTTAATTCAAGGTGGCAGCGCACATGTTGATTTTTTCAGGTGAGAGCCGACGTCGATCTAAAAAACCGAAAGTCACGAAGTTTCTAACCTCTAACCACAAGCTGCTAACCATGGTTTGACGTTTGCGCTGAACACACCAAACGTGGATCAAAAATCCTCCAGGTTTTTGAGTCCAGGTTTGCGTTGACTAACTGCATGGCCTGAGTTTATTTCAACCTGGAGCTGGGTTCGGCTGTGTGAAATGAGGCCTACCTGCAAATGAACTAAAGCAAATATCTGCAAATGACCCCGGCAACGCTTCGCTATTTTCATCGCTATTTCCTGACGACCTGAAGCTTGGCTGAATCATATCGTTTGTCATCTCACTAATCTCCAATGTCTCCCGCTTCGTTTCTTTAGTTCGCACAGCTTTTTAGGATAGCAGAGATTTATATGACAGGATTTTATATGCGAACCATTTTGCTCATTTTTAGGAGGAATCTTGGCTGGATATATCTCTGACAAAACTGGCTGCAGTGGGATTGTTGTTGCGGTTATGTTGTTTTGTGCAGGGCCAGTGGTGAGTTTTCTGCATGTGTATGTTTTATCTTGAGGTAACGATTAAATATATTTACCTGACTTGTAGCATTTTTCTTGTAGCTCTTTTTTTATAGATTCCTTTCAAATTTTAACATAACAGCGAATATTGGTAAGTTTTTTATCAGATATTTCTTGAGAACTGAGTAATATCATACGTCTTTGGTTAGATCCCAGTAATTCTGCTGTTACCTGTTCCGTTGTTCTTTTGCAATCATACTGAGCCAAACTAAGCTTTTCTGTCAGTATATCTTAATGTCAGTTCCTTCGTCTGTATATCTGTCCTCTTTTGTTCACAGTCAGTCTACTTCATTTAGATCGTCGTAAATGGAGTACTCAGTTAGGAAATATTGTTTTGAAGCGTAGCTGTCTATAATAGAATCGTATGTGCAGCTTATAATGCCAAACTTTTCTTGTCTCGCCTTATTGATGATCGATCTCTGGTTTTAGGTTTGATGATTATTACGGGAATTTTGGTGAATGGTCCTTATTCTTTGATAACAACGGCGGTATCAGCCAATTTAGTAAGTTGACGTACACTTTACCTTTTATGATAATATATCACGACAAATAAGGAGACGTCGTTGAAGGACATCGCTCATTTCGGAACCAATAACAAATGCGCAGCTCATTCAAGAAGATGCCTTGGTGCATCGCTGCATGACCCAACCTTAGCGAATTTTACCCCTCCCTTCCAATCAAAACTCACAATATACGATCGACTGTCTTTGGCTTATAATTAACGACTCACCTACTGATATTGCGAGAGCCTTAAAACTTGCGCCACAAAAATTCGAAAATAAACTGAAATGTTTGTGCTGCCCGATAAGATGTGGCCTATTATATAATGGATTGAGTCAAGCGAAAGTTGATTCGTCATATCTAGTTAATCTTCTCGGGTAATTTTTTTTAATCACTCCCACTTTTGATGATACAGGGGCATCTCTAAAAACCAATCCTGTCTTGCAAATTGTGCTTACGTGGACATCCCAAACGGTAACTGTTCGTTCTGACTAAAATATTTGCAATTGGGACCTTACACAAAGCAGGATGGCGACGGCAACGAGAAAGATATGAAAAAAAATACAAGATTTAAAGAACAGAACTGTGCCTCATTGCTAAGCCGTTCTGCAGTCTAAGAAAGCCAATCCTCGTCAGCACTTTTTTCATGTTTGCTTATAGAAATCAGGGACGCTTTTACATGCCACACTTACGAAACTCATACGGCAAATGGATGTTAATTTTTTAACGATGTCTTACTTAGCGTTGCCCTCGCGACTGCGTAAGGTCAAGTAAGTAAGGCACGAACTACATGAGACATTATTTTCTAGGGACCAGTAACCTGGGTCTACAAATATTCTTAGAGGAATTACTGGTAACATAAGGTTTGTACGAAGGTCTCTTTGACAAATCCTCTCTTACCGAGATTAATTCCATGTATCATCATTATTCTGCTCTCGTTGAAATGATTGAAATCTATGGATACGAAAGTATGATTGCATTTGTATTTCAGGGTTCACATCCATGTCTTAAAGGCAACAAAAAAGCAATGGCCATGGTAACTGCTATCATCAGCGGCACAGGTTCCTTGGGTGAGGCCAAAAGTCATATTTAGATTTACTAGTCGGATTTTTTATTGAATCATTTTTTATTTACTTTATTTGGTCAGATTTACTAGTATCTTCAACTTAGTCTTAGTTAAAAGGAGTCCATGAGTTTAAATTAGAGTATGGTGGAAAAGGAACGAAAGCAGTTTTAAAGAGTTTTCTTTTCCAAAACTGAGCCCATTTCTTAACCACACTGTGTGTCTCCTCCACAGGTGCTACCCTTGGGCCTCTCTTAACGGGTTTCATCGCGCCTAAGGTAGTTCTCTGTCTCCTTTGTAGTCTCTATATGATCGTTTCCTTCCATTTGGGAGGGAAGTGAATCACAAGGAAAATTGAAGTTGTCCGGTTAGTGTAGCTCATTTAGGAACTTGAGGTTGTAGTGCTACATCGAAGTTCAGTATTAATTACATTAATCCTTGATAACATTACTTTTAAGAATTCAGTACTTTATATTAAAATGAGTGATTTTTTTTCGTTATCCTAGGGATGGAACAACGTATTTTTTATGCTCATTGGTGCTGACGTTCTAGCGGCCGTTGTAAGTCGATATAGATTAGTAAGGAATGTTTACTGTTTTTAATGAAGGTTTTACTCGGCGCGTGTATCCCGTCAGTCTATCTTAGGAAAGATCAGTGACAGCAACAAACCGTTACTTTGTCGCCTCTGAGTCAATTAGTGACAATCGCCTCTGTCAGTACCACCTTTAAAAAAAATCTTTAGCAAAAGCGAAGCAAGTCTCAGCTGGAAAATGATTTTTGACTGGACTTCCTCGGTTATTGTGTAGATTATGTTAATCTGAATGTAAAAATTCTCCCCTTTTGAAAATCAACCGCAATCCATTCTGAATAGAGAAGAGACTCGAACTGTCAATTGGTACTCCATTGATAACCGGTAGTTTCTGGGTGAAGCCTTTATTGACTACAGACTGATTTTGACTGCAAACTCACTCCAGGTTTTAAGTTCCCGATTTTAACGCTGATCACTGACACACACTTGTGACACACACTTGCGACACACACTTGTGACACACACTTGTGACACACACTTGTGACACACACTTGTGACACACTGACTTTGAATTCATTCTGCTTCTAGTGTTAGGATTCCCTAACAATGTTATTTGGTTGGTTCTTGCAGCTTCTCGTCAGACAAGTGTGGTTTGAATTAAGCCAGCATTGTTTTCAAAGCAGGTACAAGACAGAAATACTTCATACGCGATTCCAGTTATCAATTAATGTTACAACTAATTGCGGTAATGTCGTCATCCAAAAAAGCAAAAAAGAAACAGGCAAACTCGAATTAATTAGCTAATAATGTACATGAAAAAATTTACGCTTTTGGCTGAAAACGAGTGCATTCTCATGTAAAACGAGTGCAAAATACAAACAGCGCTTACACGCTTTCAAAATTTCGTCTGTCTTAACTTTCTGCGATGTTTTTTCATGTAAATTAATAGCAAATAATGACATGATTTCTCTTGCAGTTTTGTATAATAAGCACTTGTAAATTTTTCAAAGAATTGCGCTTGCCCCACGGGCTCGTGCAATTTTATTGTCTGTGGAAAATTTACTCGCCTGAAATTTTTTCTCTTTATTTCTAGATGGCTGTAATAACAGTCTGCCTGAGCGCCACAATTTTATTGGCCTTTTAGCTATCAAGTGCTACCCCTTGTAGATGACGAGCTACTTACTTAAATTCCAAAATATGAAGCTCTTTTGTGCAGCTCACGAAAGAACGGAAGAATCGGATAGTTTGCTAATCGTCTGTCAAAACGAAGCTAAAATCACTTGGCCATCAGAATACGAAAAGTGATGGTTTTTGGATGGATACTTTTTCCAATTTGCCCTATTCTCCGTCCAATTTAAAAAACGACTACAGTAGTACATCTACACAATGGTTTCCATTGGATGTTATCTTTGTAAAAATTAATTTTGTTGTATTTTCTTTCTCTCAGAAGAAAGCGAGAATGTTTGCCATATTTGGAGTCTAGCAAGGTGAATTCGATTAATTGGAAGAAACCAAGCGAAAACAGCAAAGTTAGCGATAAGAGTACTGGAAGCGAAGAAGAACCACTTTTATACATCGACTAACATGCCAGAGCAAAATAATCGTAATTGTACATGTTTTTTGAGTAACTAAGCTGGAAAAAGAGGGAATTACAACGAAGCAATAGAACAATCAGAGCTTAGAGTAGTACATGTGGCTGCTGTCATCGGAGGAAATGACTGCTTGCTCACATTAGTAAAGACCCTCTAGGTTCTGATCGGTTGCTTCACCAAAGAATATTCGTTTACACCGTAGAGTCAACGGCCAACTGTAATGGTTTACTATTTTATACAAAGAGAGAAAATAATAAAGAGAACATGATTTGAACTGTTGGCATTAGGAAGAATGAAAGTTTTGATGGCATGGAAAGTGAAGTTTTTTATCCTATAAAAATCATGAATCGTATTTGTTTATTGGCAGTAGGTAGTTGCAGGGGATAAGAAATCTGGTGCAAGCTGTTTCTCTTTTAGATGGAGTCCTTCATAAGCCCATGGCACTTCACTTGTTCGCAGTTTTATAAATTTTGACTTCGTCTTCTCTCCTACAAACATGAAGCAAAATTCACTTAGAAATCATTAGTCGTTGCTATAATTTGATGTCAAATCGATACCATATATTATCATTTGAATCATTTTTTTTAAACTAGAACTTTCATGTATCTTCAAAACTTGGAGCTATTAGTTACGTACATTTCACAAAGATTTGGTAATATCATAGTATATCTGAGGAAATATTGTAGAAAAAGAAAATAGCTGTTTTAGAGATGAATATGTAACATAGTCTATAGAAAAGTTTTAGCAAAATTAAAACTTAAGTCATCTAGACTCCGCACATTTATTGTAGAGAGAACAGATACCGTTGCTGTTTCAGCTGTATATCGATGTACTTCAGAGCAATTTTTTTTACAAAAATTGCTCCGAAATACATCTATGTAACGTTGAAAATTTATTGCATTATCAGTTGAAAATAGTATAGTCATATATTAGCTATTTGCAATAGTTTAATCGAGTAATTCAACGGGTTTGAAAATGGAGGGGTGCAAATGGGTTGTACATTTATGTGATTATGGGAGATAAGACACGTTTACTTGGACTGTTAAATATTAACCAATCAATAAGCATATTTCTGCTCTGAAGTACATCTACCCTAACTTCAAATTCAGTGTAACTGATGTGCCGTCGTCCTTTAAGGGCGAATAGACAAATGATGTAGTCACGTTCTTCAATGCGCAGTAGTTTCTGATTAACACAAAGATGACTCGAGATATCTTTTATTATAAATAAGATAGATTAGAGAAGTAATACAACACAACTATAATGACGTTTAATACTTTTAGATCAAGATTTCGAGATGGGATTGTTTTGAGGTAGCTTCATTAAAGAAAAATGGGAATTTGAAATTCAGCTCCCTGTCGCTGCGCTCACTCTCTCCTTTTCAAACATGGCGGCCCTGAGGACGTTGATGACATCGTCGTTAAGGTGCTTCATGTCTATCGGTCGGTTCCCACTGCTATCCCGGATGTTTAGATCGGCATTAGCTTTGATAAGAAGCTTTGTAAACTCTCTGTCATGCTTCTGAACGCACATGTGCAATGGTGTCTCGTGAGCCTCCTCTGCAGACGAAATAGTTTTCAATGAAGCATGCAACTACCAACTTTTTTTACAAAATTCTCCCTTCTAACTGGCTACTCTACATTTCCTTGTAAACTGATCAGGAGAATTTGGTGCTTCATCAAAACATAATAACCCGGGATTTATAGATTTTTTAATGCCCATCATTTTTCCATTGAGTAACATGTTGAAATCGTAAGGCGAGGTTAAACTCGCTAAAATGTTAATCATTTTTCGAAGTAGGTCGCACTTTGAACCTCAAATAAACGAATAAACCTTATAAACCTTTCCTTATATGGAAAAACTTATATGAGTAGGGTGCGATTGGTTTTAGCTTTCAGCTGATTGCGTTTAAAAATCTACTTGGTTTTTCTTATGTGACGTGACTGTGATTATAAAATGATAACCTAAAAAGTGGTGACTTCCAGAATGCGCTCCAGGGTCACAGCTATACGTATTGACTTCCATCCTCCTCCCCTGTACCCTTCCATCTCCAAAAAATAGGTGAAACCTTCCAACCATAAAGCACACTTTATGGTTGGAAGCCACCTACAGCTGCTTCGGTCTTCTTGTGGATCAGTCATTTTCTATCGCCTGAAGGTGGGTCGGAGGATTTTAGGGGTATCACATGGTTTTTAGGGGGAGTGGAAACGGGGTTCATTCGCCGTTAACAGAGAATAAAGGGAAAACTATTCTACACGACTTTCATGATGGCCGATGGCGGGCGGAGCTGGTAACGATTTTGCATGGAAGCGGGGCCACAAACGCCTCTCAGACGTAAACAGAGCGCACATGTAGTGGTTTTACTGAGGTGAAGTTTTTGCTTTTGAGTGAAGACAATAACACTCAATTGGGGTCAATTACTGTTTAGAATACGCGTTTAGGATCAGGAAGGAATGCCTACACTTTGCTGCGTTCCAGAATGCACTAAAAAAGGCTATCGCGAAAAGCAGGGGTTGAAAGTGTCGTACTTTCAATTTCCCAAAGAAAAAATAATGGAGAAGAAATGGATACATGATGGAAGATTAATTGCCAATGAAGGGGAATAATTAGAATACTACAGAGCCCTGGGTGATCAGGTGAACTTTTTATTGTGATTCAACCAAAATCCTTCGCCCCCGAAAGGCGACAAATAATGACCGGTTTTTAGGGGTCGTCACTACGTCAAGGGTGGGCACAGAATACAAAAATGAAAGAATCTCACCTGAAATGGCGTTAATATTTGCGCCACACGCGATCAGTACCTTTCCAACTTCAAGTTTCCCACAGCGTGAAGCATGATGGAGAGCTGTGTATCCATTAGCTGATAACGCTTCCATATTTGCGCCGTATTTTATCAGTAATTTGATTCCTTTTTCTTGGCCCATGCGCGCTGCCAGGTGCATTGGGGTTAAAGATCGTGGTCCAGAGTGTATTTCTGTATTAGCGCCCCTACGCAGAAGAGCCTTGAGGACTTTTAATTGACCAGTCTCAGCGGCGTTGTGTAACAAGGTTACCTGGAGTGCTTTATACTTCCTGTTGATATCCGTACCTTGTCGTATTACCTCTTTAAGGTACCCTGAATGACCACATATAGCGCTGAAATATGCAGGCGTAAGACCATCGCGGGTTTCACTGTTGATATCAGCTCCTCGATGATGGAACAACATTAAAAGAAAACAGTTAAATTGATTTGAATTGGTAGTCTTATGACGTGAATTGCAATAATGGGGTTGGTTAAGAACGTTGATTTGACAAGCGGCTATAGGTGAGTAAGGTTATTAATGATTATGACATCAGATCTTCCTCGATCCCTTCCAGACCATTTTCTTCCACAATTTTGGCCCTCAGAAGACGTTTTGGATCAATTTCATTCCCCAAAACCAACAAAAGTTGGGGTTAATGTTGGGCCGTTAGAAGAGGGTTAGGTGGGAAGTTGCTCCGATACTGATATTGCTTCGAACTGTTTTGCTTCCTATTCTTTGCATGAGGGCAGAGTAAGAGGTAGTATACTCATATTTCTTTTCTCTTTTCTCAAATTCCAATAGAGACTACCGTGAAAGACAAGCAACCAAACAAAGTCTAAACATAAGAGAATAACAACAAAAACAATCACCAAAAAATGAACGGAGGCTTCACAATGGTGCTCGAAAATAGATTTCTGTCTTGAATATTTGGCCCTTAATTGCTATTTATGAAATAAGACGCGACAGCATCGAAAAAAAAAACATAAATAAACATAGGTGAGGCCAACATAAATAAACAATAACATACTAAACGAAGGACTGTCGAGTATGCTTTAAGATAATGAGGCGAAACGAAAACAGCACAAAACAAAACAGAACAGAAAGGACTAAAGATGGAGCAAATGTAGCGAAGACGGTCTAATTTCCCAGTGATAAAAAATTTTGGTACCTGCTTGTACAAGTGTCTGCATGCAATCCACGTGCCCACGCATAGCAGTGCAGTGCAGCGGTGTCTCGCCGAAATTATTGACGCTCCTCCAATCAGCACCGTGCATTAAAAGCAGTCTCACGCACTCTATATGGCCGTGTCTCGCCGCGTAATGAAGGGGCGTGTTAGGGCCATTGTTGTTATACGCAACAGAGTCCACCTTTGCACCTCCCTCTAATAACAATGCAAGGCACTCGGTGTGGCCGTTGAGCGCGGCTTCGTGTATTGCCTGCCAGCCATAGAAATCTTCGGCTGTCACGTCTGCGCCACATTTTATGAGAGTTTCCAAGCATTGTGATTGACCGTGGCGAGCAGCAAAATGCAATGCTCGTAAGCTATGAGAAAAGACAGAAGAAAGGACTGCTTAAAAAAAAAGCAAATTTCCAGAGCTTAATTATATAAATCAACTACTGGGCGCAAAAACCAAAAATCACCACGAGGAATGTTTCTAACAATGAAAAGCCCTATTTCTATACTCTGCTTATACATGTATGTGTAGCACAGAGCTCACTCATGGAAAATTTTGGTAATTCAGTGTTAGTCAACTAAGTTGAAAACGTAAATTAGCCACCGTAAAGAATTTAAAGGCCGGCGTTTCGAGAGTGAGCCCCTCGTCAGAGCAATTTGCGGAAAATGGAAAATTCAGATATGATGTACAGCATACTTTACTATAACCCTAGCCTTAGACAAGTAATTTTTAACAATATCACTGTCTTGAATAGCAGCAACGGGCAATTCAGCTGTTTGGGATGCTTGTGGTTTACAACACTTAACCGATTTCAGACCCAAAATCTATTCCAAAATTTTATGAAAGAAAAGAAAAAACACACACCATGGTGCCGCAAAAACCCCCAGCGCCCATTTGATAGAGCTCTCCTTCTTCCTTATGAACAAGGCGACAATGTATACTCACCCTGAAAATTGTGATTCTCTTTCGTTTGGATCCATTCCTTGTTGCAAAACCAAAGTTAAGTCTCTTTCATTTCCTGCGCGAGCGCTTTTGAACATAACACTTTTTGGGTCCCTGAGTTCATCGCTGACAATAGATGTTGTACTTTGATGCCTTTCAACGCTAGAAGCGCCCGTGCCCATAGCTGTAGTCGTCCTATCTTGTTTAATTATTGTGTTTGTCTTTTTCTACTTTTCATTCGCTATTATGACGCTCAGTTAATGGTTCCACGCGCCATTTGTAGTAAGCCATATCTACAAGTAAAATTAGAACTATCAATTAGGCCGGTTCTCTCATGAGGTGGTAACTTTCACTCCCTCCAGCCGTTTTTCAGTAGAATTTTCGCGATTTGTGGGTCATTAGTTTTCCAAACTGACATATCCTCGTTGAAGATTTCCCAAAGAATTTCCAAGCCGGTAACTGCTCAGCGGTGATGCAGCTCTAAACATTTACAAAGTTTTCGCACGTTAACTCAAAACTAGAATGAGTCATATTGATGGTGATTTTGACGTAGCTTGTTCTCGGAGCTAAAGCGTGTGAGACCGGCTGATCGAATCCATGATTATTCCACCCAAAGCTCTTTTGATTTATAATTCAACGCTTTGTTACATAACCAATAAAAAATGCTAGGAAGCAGAGCCTAACAAGGTCAAATACTCAGGAAGCCATGTCAGGGGAAACCAATATATTTTCATTCCACAATCGGTCTTCATGACATCAGAACATTCCGTGTAAGAAATATGAGGAGTTAAGATTATAAATGAAAGTTGAGAGATAAAGGGTGACAGACAATAAAATTCACATATCCTGAGCAGCAGAGTTACATACAATTCAATAATCGCTCAACCCACGAAAGTTGGTTGTCGCACCATAGGTCAAATTCTTTCTCGATGTTTCGGTCAAACATAAATGCATTTAACTGGCATTGCTAACGCAAACGGAAATGAAGAAGCAGATGCTTGCGTGATCCAAGGAAATATTATTTTCATTATTAAGGGTGGTCTTCAGCAAGTAATCAAAAAGTTTTTTTTTAATAGCTTCTTTCGAATTTCATGCCCTTACCCTCCATTCTTGCGACACATGCGAATCGCAGAATAACCAGATCGATCAAAACTTTAGAAATATATTTGTAATCTTTTGTGCTAAATAGAAAGTTTTCTCGTGCTTAATAGTTTTTACGATTCCCAATTAATTGCGTTAATCACATATCGACGAACGATACATATGATGACGTAAGAACTTCCGGAAGCGTAGATCTGACCATGTTGCACAACCCGTCAAAACAGTCTAACACACGGGAAATAAATTCAAGTTAAACATAGGTTTATGTTCCGGTACCAACTTTCATTGTAAGCTTGTCTTCATTATAAGCTCGTCCTCTGCGGTGCAAAATCAAAACGAGCTGAACGGTTTTTGATATTACATCTAGTTTTTTTTTTTTTTTGGTTTTTGTGTTTTTTGATAACATACCACACGTATTAACCTTTAGCGGCTTTGGAGATTTGTGATGAATGTACGTCATAAGTTTGAAATTTCAGTTATTTTAGCGATGTGGTGGTTGACAAGTCTTCTGTTGTAAATAAAATAAACAAATTAAACTATCTTTATTTGACATAAAAAGGTTTTTCCTTAGATGGAAAGTTGAATGTTTTCATCTTTATAGTATGGCAGCTATCCTTCACGAAAATCCTCAAAGTGACACGATTCTATTAGTGTAATGAGATCTCTGGGGAATCAAGGCTGGCGCATTACACATCACCTTTTTGAACTCTCCTAAAAAGTCTGTACCCACGCATTCTGGCTAGCGACAGCTGATCTGCCTTCAAAGCCTACGAATTCGCTAGGAGCAGAGTTCCGTAAGGAAATCTCATTAGCCTTTGAATCTTATTACATCTCGAGCCGTTACCGTATTCCAACGAGCAGTGTGGAATGTCAAGCGGAGGAATTCATGAATCGTTATTAACAAGAATCAGCCAATCAGATGCAGGATTGGGTCCTTTAAAACTGGCCGCGCTCTTTGAACACGATCTTTCAAAACTGACTTTTACAGAGTGGGGAAATTGATTTATCCAGTTGCTTTTTAATATTTAAAAATTCATTTTGGTGAGCGAAAAGTTTTAAAAGTTGTTTAATCGGGCTACTCCTTGATAAAGTTGTAATTTTGGACCTTTTCATGCAGAAATTACCGAAAATATGGCTCAATACGAATTCGAAAATGGCGTAAACGACTGTTTGAAAAAGCTCGAAGCTCCTCTTTCTAAAGGGCCGGTCCCACGCTGGCAAAGGAAAGAGAGGGAAAGGATTTTAGCTTCAACCGGAAAACCTTTATCGCCGCTTCAAACCACTTCTCGCAACCATGTGAACTCGAGGTTATCGTCAAAAACTCAAACTCACACTCCGGGCAAAAGAGCAAAGACTCCAACGAAGACTCCTCAAAAGTCACCGAAAAAGTTTGGTCTGTCTCCTCGTGGTGACCGTTTTATTCCTTCCAGGCCGCTTGTCGACTGTGAATGGAGCCATTTTCAAATTATGCAAGGAACGGACTCGGGCGAGGCGAACTGTGAGATGGAAGTCGAAGGAAACTCGCAGTACTACTCAAATATGACAGAGAATTTGCAAAGCAGCTCAAGTAATGGCAAGATTCTACATTTCAAGTCTGGAGCACCTGTGGCGAGGGAAGGTAGCGTGATTGGCCGTTTTTCTTCGATATCCTCTTTCCTTTAAATCCTTATACTCCAAGATTTTAATATGAATTTTCCAGACTGCTCCGAGAATAACAATTGCCCCTTAACCCTTTGACCCGTAAGAGTGACTAGAATCTGATTTCTCCTTACAATATTACCCCTGAATCACACATTAAGGTCTCGAGAATAAAGGAAACAATCGCCTACTTTTGAAACTCTTGATTGTTAAACAAATTCTCCTTGTCAGTACCCTAATAGGTGTATAGAGAACAGTATGGAGAACTTATATGAACTGAGTTAGGGTGTGAAGGGTTGATAATAGTTTTCTTCATTCTCTTACTTTCCTGCTTTAAAGTGTATTCAGATATGGTCATGGGAAATTCCTTGTTGGTCACTTGTGGAAGTTAAAGGATTAATTGACTGGCTATGATTGCAAAATAAATCAAGAAACGGGTATAAGATAATTAAATAAGTGGTAGATAGTAATGATGATGATGTAATTAAATAGTACCAAAATTTCAACTTTCACTGGAATGTTCTATAACAATTCATTTTATAGATACAACCAAGAACCTGCAGAGGTTTTTTAACCCTCTACAACCTAACATCAGTATGCATATTCTCCATACTGTTCTCTTTACATTTCCCAAGGTGCTGACAAGGAGAATTTGTTGATTAGTCAAGAACTTCCTTATTTGGTGATCATATCCTTTATTCTCATGACCCTAATGTTGTTTTTCAGGGGTGATATTGTAAGGAGAATTTAGATGCTAGTCACTCTTAGGAATCAAAGGTTAATCAATGGCTAATATTCTGTGTATTTCCTTTAAAACTGATGCAAAATTTGAATTATATGTTTACAATATTTAATTATTTTGGTGCAATATTATAATTTGTTTTTAGGACATCAGAATCAATTAAGAGTGTTGTACTGTCAAAGCAAACCTGCTGCACCAAAAGCTAAGTCAACAAGACACATCCCACAGGCTGAAGATAGGATTCTAGATGCACCTGAACTTTTGGATGATTATTGTAAGTAAAAGATTTTGACAACAAATGGTGCAAGTGTTTGATATCATCAAGTGCACTGATTTCAATCAGAGCCATCTTAACTTTTACAGGAAATTGTAAAATAAATTCAAAAGAATTTGTTCTCGGACCGTGTTCAGGCCTATGGATTAATTGTATAATTGTTTATAATTTTTCCCTAGATCTTAGCCCCAGGTTCCTTAACCCTTTAATTCCCAAGATCTGATTGCTAATTTTCTCCCTTAGCTGCTACACATTTCCTTGTAAGTTAGTTACAGGAGGTGGGTTTCAGATCAAGGTAACAACTTATACCTGATAAGTTTGAGTATTCTCACTGCATTTGCATAGTAATGTATGGATATTATAGGGAGAATTTACATGTTAATCACTTCTGGGAGTTAAAGGGTTAAGTGGGACAAGTAATTACCCAAATTTGTTTTGTATGCTCTTTAAACCGGTGATTTTGCAGCTATTATTTGAGAAGCATAGGTTCAAAAGATGCAAAGCCTAAAATAAATTTAGCCTCTGTTTTCTACAATTTCTTTGATTATTAATCAATTTTAAGTATAATTTTGTTATTTGGAGGGCAATAAAATTTATTTTATTTGTTTGTGATCAGATCTAAACCTGTTAGACTGGGGCTCAATAAACCAGCTTGCCCTTGCATTGTCTGGTGCAGTTTACACATGGAATCCCAGTACTGGTGAGACCCAGCATTTGTTTCAGATGGAAGGTGAAGATTACATTTCCAGTGTCAGTTGGATTGATCAGGGTAGTATTCTTGCTGTTGGAAGCAGTAATGGTCAAGTCCAGGTGAGTTAAGAAGAATGAAATGCATATACATGTATTGGTATATGTAATTATTACCCAGTTACTACAAAGTAAAGAGTCAAGCTTTTAAGCATAATGTGATTTCTAAAAAGATTGTCAAGAATGTTCCTCAATCTGGATAGAGGAATAGAAAGGTCTCTGGTTGACCCCAGCGCTCGTATGTATGATAATATGGCAAGCTTTCTACAGTGACTGTAAAAAGCCTGCCACATTGTGATACTTATGGGAGTGTATTTAAAGTACACAAGACAAACACAACTTTTAAACTAAACATTTGCATCTCTGTTTTTTAATTTGGCTAGATCTATTTTTACCATAAACCCAAAAAGGAAAAGGCTACTGTTGCAGTGGCCTATTGGAGGGCTGTGCTCAATAGTTGGGGGTACTTTATTTTTTCAGTTCCAGACAGGATTTGATTTTGTTTTCAAATTGAAGGATGGCTAATATGTGTTCAAAACTACATAAACTATGATCCTGGTAAGCTGATCCTATGGTTTTCTTAGCCAAATGTGGTGTAAATGCAATTAACTTCTAAAAGGAATGTTACTTCCTTAAACTAGATTCTTAGTCATTTCATTTCTTAATCTGGATAAAGGAAAAGAAAAGTCTTTGGTTGACCCAAGCACTCGTATGTATGAAAACATGGCAAGCTTTTTACAGCAACTGTAAAAAGCCTACATGCCACTTTGTGATACATACAGGAGTGACCTCAAGGGAAACAAGAGGAGCAAAATTTTAAACTGGAACATTTGGGTCTCTGTTATTTAATTTGGCTAAATTTATTTTTGATGTAAACATTTAAGTTATTTTTTAGTGCCTACATGTATTTGCTTATCTCAAACCAGCTGTGGTTGAAAGGAAGGGTAACTGTCAGAGGGCTTTGCTCAGTAGTTGGGGTATTATATTTTTCCATACACCCACCTGAAGTACCACTAATGTGTTAAACACAACATAAGTTATGATACAAAGCTGATCCTTGGGT